CAAAGTCTTCAAATATTAATCAAATAACTAATATTAATCAATATTAATATTAATAAATAGTAATCAATATTATTGATTAATATTAATAATAATTAATAATTAGTATTAATCAAATATTCCGTGAATGTATGATTTTATTTAATGGGTGATTGAAGGATGGTGCATAGTTTCTGGAAAGTTGGATTTCTTACGAAATGACAGCAAATGAACATAAAAATAGAATTATCTGAATAAAACTCGTAACTTTAGAATTTCATAAAGCCAGATGAAAAGTGGAGAAGATAACTTACCCAGAAATAGAAAAGTGTCTTAACACTTAACAGAAGGGGTGTGTTGTCTTTCCTCTATTTTTCTCGGTTTCCGGGCATTTTTTAAGAGAATTAAATAAACGTGTATATATGGTTTCGAAGCGTAGCAGTTTTATTAAATCAACATTATTTTTGCTAAAATTTTACAAAGTTATGTAATTACAGACTAATAAAATATATTAATAACGTATCAATAAAGTATTGATAAAAATTCAAGCAAAATCGTAAATCTACGTGGCCCGTCCTAGGAAGTCAAACAAATGTAAATTTACATCCGTGAAGTGTTAAGAAACCCTAGAAAGATGGTACTTCGTTATTTGAAAATGGCAAACAACAGGCAAAACTCTTCAAAAGCATTGACGTACCAGGCTCAAATCTCATTAAGCAAACGCCAGGCATCGTAGACCGTCGTTCTACGATTTCTGTTTACGCGTACACATAGAATCCCAGCTTGCGCTCGCGCTTGCATAACGCTTTCTGTCGTGCTCGCTTAAAGTATAACCGCGGACTCTCTCTCTTTCTTACGGCTCGTTGGAAATTCCGGTAAGCAAGCTCGCCGTAGCACAGCGAGCACAAAACCGCTTTTAGCCCTTTGGCTCCCGGTGAAAAATCGCCGCGCCGTTTTCCCCGGACGCGACTTCGGGGAGCAATTACTTACCTTCTCCGGTCTAAGACATCCCGGTGGTGTTTTCAGGCAGCAGGATAATCCGACCACCGACCCGAAGGGCAGACGATGGAGCAGCAAGAGGGCATTTCAAAGGCGGAGCAGCGAAGTCGAGGTTCGTCTGCATCGTAGTTCGATGATGGGCTCTCAGGGTCATGCGACCGTCGACGCCCCGAAATCGCCGACCCCGTCCAGGCGACGCAGCTCCAGCATCGCGGTCGCCAGACCCACCCCTGACCTGCACAGGTGAGCTGGATCCACGTGGCACGGCGTTTTAGCATGACGCAAGGTGACCCAGCTGAACAATGTGTCCCTGGTGGCTGAGCAAAAGAGAACGAAATAACGAAATTGTTAGTTGAGAACAGCGTTTGATACTTGAACGGCGGACCGTTTTGTCAAACATGTAACTGCGTGCGATTAGGATCATTTGTAATTTTATTTGATGTAATTAAATTCAGTAAATTCTCCCTAATTTTCTTTCTCAGCTTGTGAATACAAATGGACAGTATGGATAGAGGAGATACGATTATTCGAGCCTCGCGGCTTATTTTTATAGTTGCCGATTGTCGACGATTATAAAAACAAGCTGCAAGGCTCGAATAATCGTATCTCCTCTTCCCAAATTGTTCATTTCTGTTTACAAGCTGAAGGAAAATTAGGGAGAATTTACTGTACATTGTTCAAGTAATTTGCAAAGTTAATTGTCAGAAAGCAGACAATTGAATTATATTTATACTCGGGTAGATCTTGTTTCATCATACTCGACTTACAAACATTTTCATACTTTCCTTTTTTAAAACGACGATTATATCTAAATTCCGGCAGTATAATAAACATGTATTTGATATGATGCAAAGAAACTGTAATTGTTATGAATACGACGTAAAATCAACAATATATTGACGTCAAGATAACGTAATTTATATTGTTTTATTAATTTCAATATTCATTAACATGCATACGTCGATTATATGATTACATACTTCAGCTAACAATTTCGCGCTAGAATTCTATTTATGCTCTTTTGCTGAGTGGCTAGAGGTTTAACAAGGGCTTACATGTCAACAGGTTGACATGATTTTAAGCTGATCAGTAAATAAACGAACAAATGCACCTAAGAAAAATGTTTTCTTGTAATTTGAGGAAGTATTAACCTTCGATGTTTCAAGAAAGATTATTATTATTAAATAGTCTTTTCTTCTTCAATATTTCTTTATTTTGAATGATTCCATAATTACTTCATAAATTCTGTAAAAATTTTCAAGACCATCTTGCAGGAAAGTTTGAATGTTTATATCTTCGCGTGGAAGTTATTGAAACTTTTAATAACGAATAATGTTTTGTTTACTCGATAGAGCAACGTTTCATGTAATCATCTTGTTTCTTTTAAAGGAGAATAGTGGGCCCGTTTTTGCGTCAAAGTATTACACAGTTAAGTTTTACGGATTCAACTGTTGCTAGGCGAGATTGGTTTTCAAGCTGATGCTTTTCATACGGCGATATTCAAGCATTCGTTTGCGTAATTGCTGCATCCATCACTTTCATGTTGGCGACGGTAAAATTGATTCGAAAGATTTTTTTTTATCACACCCACTCTCTTATGCAAATATTGTCACTTATTATACGTTCCGATTTGACACCTTCTCCACGCGGAAACGCAATTTTCTACTGTGTTAGAAAACACTTTGTTTCATATTTTATTTCTTTTTCCCAGGATGTCTTTAGATATACATATAACAGATTAGACTGTTCGCTTTCGTAAGGCATAAAGTAAGAGATATAATTGTCGCTTGAAAATCATTTGATTAAATTGTACGGCTTCTCACATAAATAAATAGCTGCATAGTGTATGCTATATTCAATCTTCCATTATAAGTAGCTGACGATTAATTTTAAGTAACAATAGTATCGTTAAATTATTATATTCAATCTTCCAATTTTCCATATTCAATCTTCCATTATAAGTAGCTGACGATTAATTTTAAGTAACAATAGTATCGTTAAATTATTATATTCAATCTTCCAATTTTCCATATTCAATCTTCCATTATAAGTAGCTGACGATTAATTTTAAGTAACAATAGTATCGTTAAAATGATCACAAAATCAACGAATGTATTTTCGCAATTGACTTCCGCATTTTCAGAGCACATTATTTACATATAAAATTGTTCTACCTTGGTAGAAAAGATTCGATCAAAAATGCGAATGCTGAACGAAGTGTTTACAACGTTAATCAAAATATCCTCTTGACATTTACAAAAATAGAAACATAGTATACCATAGAGAATAGTAGAGAAACAACATTTCACGTACAGCATATGAATTATCATTCGTATGAATTAACGATCAACATATTGTTAATGCACTTTCCAGTTATGGTGACGAATATTTTATTATGTATTTCGTATATCTACTGCAATATTATTGTTCTTGCCACAGATTACAAGCATTTGTAATCTGTAGCAAGGATAAGCATTTATGCATCAGTTATTTATGAAAGGTCTCAGTTATTAGCATTTAATTAACATTACTCCACAAAAAGCCTTCGACCAAGAATCTAAATGTCAAATACATACAACAATTAAAATTAGGAGCGAAGAAAATTTTTTCTCTATTACAACTTCTCTTAACTTTGCAATATTGATTTGCAATTTGTCACTCCATCAAATTGCAGTTTTTTGCAAAAAACAAGAAGATCGTCTGGCCCAATCATAAAGAAGTTACTTCATTTTAAAAGGCGTTCGAATACTTTCGCGACTCACTGGTACAAGTTTTGCAAAAATGTCCGTCCTATTGTCTAGTGAACTTGTCCGTCTAACATCTCAAAAAAAAAAATTTAGATCATTTGACCCGCTTACAAAAAAGTTCGAAATGACAGTTTCCACATTATTTATTCCAAAGATCGTGTCATCGTTATGATATAGCACACCTGAGTCACGTTTCGAGGTCGACAGGTTTAGTGTCAAACTGCTTGAGAATATTTTCGTGGATCATTCGATCGAATACTTCCTGCCAAATAATTTCCCAATGATCAGCACCGTTCTAAGAAAGCCGTTCGATAGGTTTCTGCAAGCAGAGGCAGGTCCATGGGGTCACCTGTCGCCTTCGCCGAGGAGTCCCACGAGGACTCCGGCGATCAGTCCAGGTGCTGTGTCCTCCTCGTCTCACCTGAGTCCAGGAGCGAGTCCCGGTGGCCCGAGTCCCGGTGGCCCGAGTCCGACCAGTCCAGCTGGTCCAGCTGGTTTAACGTCCGGATCCCGTGGTCCAGGGCCAAGGCAATATCGTGGAAGGACCAGCAGCATGCCAGCAGTGCCACGGCACAGGGTGAGTCGTAATTTACGTGAGCCATTTCTGTGGTCCCGTTAGTTCCCTGCATTGCCCCAATGCCACGATAAAAGCCGTCTATCGGAGAATATTGGCAGCAAACTTGGCCAGCCTTTATCCCGTCTGACCTTTCTCCGACTCCGATTCTCCGAGCACAAGAGGGTATCACGCCATTTTTGGCCGAATCCGTCGGATCTTTAGCATTCGGCTGAGAAGTGATCGTTTTTAAAAAAGTTCGAAGATTTTTCTCGGTGTTTGGGGAAACCTGTCGTGATTGGCATTGTTTTATGAATGCATCATAAAAGAACTGTGTCACAGAAATCTAGTCAAGTGTCTCATTGACATTCTTCTATGACTGTGTTACAGAAGCGAAGTGTTATGATTTAAGCAAATGAACTAATTCGTGAGATGCACATTTTGTGCCTGGGACATTTGGTTCGATCGATCGCGCAACGGTACGAGCGATAATTAAATATGATATTTATCGTCCGGTGTTAGTTGTGCACGTTGCTACAAGTCAAAAATTATTGGCACAGTTTCGTAGCGAAGTTTCGCGTGAAATAATTGTTTTATGTTTTACGATCGAGCCATATATATGTGTGTCCAGATACTTCGCTTACTTTTGTACAACCAAAATCACACGTCTGACATTTTCATGTAATTGATTTCGTTGCTTTTTCGTGATACCGGATGAGAATAGCGCGAAAGCTGAATGGACGGAGTTTCGTTGTGTTTATAGAACAAAATGAACGCGTCACCGTCATCGTGGTTGGTCTATTGTTGACCTCTCGCCTTATAACACCGTGTTCGCGGTGAGGTTTATCACCCTGTGTTGCTATTCTTGGTTGAGCTATACCTCTGAAATAACGCCGAGGTAGGAGGAACAGGTGTATTAGCGACAATTTTTTATGTAGGGATCGTATTCTTGGACGTAGGAAAAATGTCGAAAATAATAGCATTGTTATACCGAGGATTTTACGGACTTATCATTTTAAGGAAAGATCCTCGGCCCTTTTATTACGCTAACGCCGCGACATTTTTCTATTAACGCAGGCATTCGGAAAACTGATTACTCGGATAATGAATTAATGACGACGATGTAACGACTAATGATGGTTTACTGTACTTTAATGGTGGTTTACTCTTTACTGTAAATTGGAACGAAAGACGATCGAGAAGTTAAAGGGAAGGTCCGAACGGAAGGAAAGATAAATGTTTTGTCTTGATAGGGCAAGTTGTCGATATTTAGCTCTGCGCCGTATACTTTGCTGGTAAACTGTATCTTTAAGCACGTTTATATTATAAACATCACCGTCTTTCTTGCTTGAACCTACACAATGATCGTTTCCATCCCAAATATTGCCTTCTATTTTTTTAGAAGAAGATGATACGAAGATCGAATGACTGAACGAATGAAACACGAAAGCAGAAAAGTTTGGTTGTTAGCCTATAATGTTTCTGTGTTGCAAGTTTGAGGTGATGAAAGTAAGTATAAAGGTAAGCTCTGCTGTTCCCTTTAGGGAAAATTCGAGCTTAATGCGTCTGCTGTGAATGTTCCTATTCAGGACTTTTCGGTGTAAAATCTAATTTATTTTCTCACTTCGCCGCGTTCCGTTTGCGCGTGATTCCGCCGACGCACCGTTCGCGTAATGGAATTGCATTATTAAAATACTATTGCAGACGTTTTTAACAAGCACTTTTCTTCGCGTACCGAGCCTCGCGCTCAACTTCCCTATTAAGTAAACTGTGGAATTAAACACCAACTGCTCCCTGACTGTTTCTCATTATTCTCCTCATTAGAAAAGGAGGTTGAGAGCGATCCCCTTTAAGTTCGCAAATTTTCATCTGTGCCGCTGAAAAGCCTTGGCAAACTACTTCTTCGTTCACAATGCAAGTGCGCGTATTGCAACAGGATCGATAACGTTCCGGTTTCATTAATTTCCGGTCACATTTCTATTCATACCTCTCCGTGACGTGTTGTGGCGATAAACTTTGGGGATCACCATAGACGCGGAACGTCGTCATAAAATTTTATTAAAAAGCGCGAAATCGCGTTCGCTTTTCGAACATTCGAGATTCGACGATCTCGTCGTGAGTTATGGCGCACCGGAGATTTTAGTACTCACTGTGAAATCTCTCGTCTAACGTTGACCGCTGCAATAGCAATGGAGGCATTCTTTAATGGAGGAAGAAATCATTTCTTTTCTATTTTTGTTGCTGTGGAAAATTATTTTGAGTCTGTAACAGGCGATAGAACAGGGTTGATTAGAAAAATTGTTGAAATTTAGAACACGTTTATCAATAGAGTGCAGATTTTATGCAATTCAAGGTTATTGTCGCATTATTTACAAATTGTTACGATCGTTAAAAGAGAAAAGATATTTTCATTTAATGTATATTTTTTACAATGAAACAGAAATTTTCAGCAGTCTTTCTTTCCACTTTTTATGTTGGTCTTACGCTTTAACTGACTCAGGCTTACAGATATTGGTTTTCTCAGTGACGTAGGATTAAAAAAAGATAGAATTAGTGTTACACGTGCGTAACAACAGACTCTGTAGGTATAATGATAATAATAATAATAATAATAATTCATGTGTTGCCGTCAAGGAAAATATAAAATGTAGAATATTGCGTCTCTTTTCGATGAAGAAAATATGAATTTCAATCCTTTTATCGATAAATTTAATTAGCGGTATAGAAATGTTCTAAATAGAATCGATGAAGGTCCATTTGAACAGAAAGGGTAGAATTCTGTCGGTGTCTGCTAAGTAGCCTCATCGAACGCTCAGTTATGCGACTCGATGTGTAATAGCGACTGCATTGATGGGCAATTAAGCAACGTTAGCAGGACACTGGTAATTTGTGGTGTGCGCCAGATTTCGCGATGAATCGTATATCGCTTCATAGGTATCGATCGTTCGCGAACTTTCGGCACGTGCCAGGGCACGTTCATCAGCCCGGTGAGCTCGTAAAAAATTCAAATCCCTGAGCTCAAGGAACTCGAGCGATCTTGAAGACGTTGAACCGCCGGGGCGCGGCTTTAGAAAATTGAAGATCGTAATATCACTTACCGCCGTGTCGCCCAACGTGGGATAATTGAAACATCCAATCGTTTACCGTGAAATCTGAAACGACGTAATCACTTCCAATTGAATTCTGGCGCATTGTTGCGAAATTGGTGCTCAATCTGGAAAAAATGCAGTTCTTTTTTTGGTTTCGCTGGTGTTCGATTAATTTACAGCGGATTAATAAAAGGTATTCCGACACCTTTCGAAATTCGATACCTTTTTTTAAACTGGACTGACCGACCTGAATTTTTCGGAGATGTTAGAGATGTTAGTTTATTGTACAACGACAAAAATACTATTTTTCGAAAATTTTGCTATTACTTGAAATGACAAAAAGAAATAAGAACTCTCGTTTGTTATCTTCATTTTTTATCCGAATTTGCAACGAAAATTTAAAAAAATTTAGAAACTATCAGTTTTAAACAAATTATACCGTTTTGAGGAATGTCCGAATACTTTTCTTTTATCCAGTGTATGTACTTCAGGAAGAAAAATGGCGTTTTAAAAATTAGTTCTAAAGAATTTAATAGGCCTTGTTAACGAATTTTTTTAATAACATAGCAAACATGATCGACACAAAGCAGAAGAACCAGCAAGGTTCACGAAACTTTCACTGTACCCCGGGTCTAATGAAATTCGGAACGAAGAATATGAGTTTTCGCGGAATTTGAGCTGTGTAAAGACGGCCCATGGAAAGAATCCTTGCACAGGTATCGCTATACAATTTTCTCCGAGGTATCCGGAAAGAGCTGTATCATCGAAAATGTCTTCTGTAAACAACGTGTTTGCGCAAACCTTCTAGGAAATATTCTATCAGAAATTGTAAGAACAACTGTAAAATATATTTTACGTTTTATTTCTCTCTTTAGACTGTGAATATCGCGAGAAACTGCCATCCTTGTGTAACACAACTGCTTCCCCATTTTTTTTTAAAATACGAAGATAGATCTATATAGTTGGAGATAAGCAGAACTCTCTGATTAAATAGATTCAAGCTGATCAAATATTATTTTTGATGTGCCAACAGCTCTTGATAATTAAGCTACATATTTTATGGTTTCCAGATAAACACGAGAAACTGAATTACGAATAGGTTTTAGTGATTAAAGTCATTAAAAGAACAAATACATTTCCGTTTAAATCTTGCTTCTCGTAATTAAAACAAGCAGTATTTAGTTTTCATGAAAAATCTGCAGATATGCATTTTATTTAAAATAACAAGATGTACGCTTACTTTCCTGGCTGTAGAAAATGTTGAAGAGAAGAACCTTCTCCGAATTGCACATCGTTTTCAAGGTCAAAAGCGACCGCTGCATTAATTAAATCGATCAAAACTTAATTGTGTGTCTCTCTCGGCTCTAATTGGGTGTAAAATTCGGTTATCGTTCATAGAAACTCCAAGATCGTTAGATAAGAATAATAGTTTAATATCAATACGGACGCGTTTCAATATATCGACTATCACAAATACAAGACAAACGTACTCCAAAATGGCGGTCGCCGTTCCGTCAAAGGTAGAAGAAGGTACGATAAAAAAGAGCAGCTGGTGTGTCGGGTTCTGGCAGTTCACCCTTCAATTTGGATAGCGAGGCCGACTTTGTGCCCGCCTCGTTGCACGTTCGTGCAGTCGACGTTGAAAGACAGAGACGCCGTGATTTGGTCGGCGAGCTGTTGTTGCAGGCTGAATCCCAGTTGCAGATCCGTGTTTAACTTGAACCGGAACGTCGATTTCTCATCAATGATGTATTTCGCCGCCGCGCCCAGCGTGTAATCTTCGTTCCCGCCGTTTTTGTACATCATACCGTTAACGACAGCCTCCCACTGCTCGTTCACTTAAACAACAATGTTTGCACCATCGTTATTCGACGTCAATAGTAAATATTAGACCGTGGATCTTCAACAATTTAAGAATTTATTATAATATTATATAATTCGATCGCATTCGCATATGCGACTTTATTAGAGGAATTCTAATTTATTTGGTAATTGGTGGTATTATTCGTGAATATAATTGAAATCTGTAAAATAATTAACTATATTAGTGACGCAGGGCCCCGAAGGGTTAAACTAATTTTATTATCTATTCGAAACGTATTCAAATGCAAACGTTACGGCAGGTTTTATGAATGTGTCCTTATATCTGTAACCAGTTCAAATATTTATTGAGAGCGTGCGATGTTTATCAAAATGGGCGAAAAATTTATAAAAATGGTTTCGTAAAATTTCGATCAATTTTCGATCAATAAGTAAATCGGTATCGATCAATTTTGAACGAGAGGAATTGATCGATTTCAAATGGAATAGTTCAAGGATCAGTTTGAATCATCGCCATTTGTTTATACGCCAATCGTTTGTTTATACCGCTTTGTTTTCAGCCTTAAAAAAAACAGGTTCTCCTGAAACATGGAAGCCCGCAGCCGTAGAAAAAAAACAGCAGTTTTCGAATACGTCAGCGAATAAAATTTTTCTTGAATCTGCATGGCTAATGTAGTTGGCAATTTGCAACTGCGCGCCGTGATAAAATCGATATTTTGAAAAACTAAATATATCCACAGAAGCTTTCTGAAAAAAAGGAGGTATGAGTAAACAAAACTCGAAAGTTTGCTACCTGCAGCATCGGCAGAGATGTTTGATTTACCGGATTCAATCAACCCTATCGTTTACATACGGGTCAAGCATGTAACGAAGTCGACATTTCCGAAGCCGATGCGTTTCGGAAAAACCATGTACGGTTATAAAAAGACACGAGTAAATAAATTGGAAATTCTGCCTTAGGAGACAACATCGAGTTTCCCGATTTAATTGGGTCACCGCAAGGAAAAAGAGAGAGAGAGGGACGGAGAGAAAGAGAGAAGGAGAGAGAAAGAGAGAAAGAGAGAGAAAGAGAGAAGGAGAGAGAAAGAGAGAAAGAGAGAGAAAGAAAGAGAGAAAGAAAAAGAAAGAGAAAAAGAGAGAAAGAGAAAAAGAGAGGGAGACGGAGAGAGAAAAATGGACAGCGGGAGTAGCATCTTCGTCTCTGTCAGCGAGGAGAAAAATCGAGGATAGTTGTTTATGTACTGTAAAGCGCGCGGTTAGCTCGCGCGTCGTTAATTAGAGAGACAGATAATTGCGTAACGCACGCATCGTACGAATATAATGAGGTGTTCGTTTACAGCTTGCACGGCAACGAACGCTGCTACGGTCGCGGATTCGTAATTAGGGGCCCCGCGACGAGAGCACACCTGCAATTACACATCGTCATTCGAACTCACGAATTCGTAGCTACGGCCTGGAATAATTTTTGTATGTTTATTAATCCGGAATAATGTCTTCGCGCGTTCCCTCAATCCGCGCGGAACACTGAACTTCATGCATTTTAAACAAACGCCGACGAAGAAACCCGAATCGTTTACCAGCAATGCTTTGAAGACAGCGAACGCTCGTAAATTTGACATTTATAATTAGATCTTTTTTCATACATTTATTAGTAAGATCGTGAGAAAAAATACTAGTTTAAAACGATTAAAATTATTCAGAGTTTCTATTTCTCGAATGTAATGAAGATCGTTCTTATTTCGTACAGAGATCCGCGGTCTGTTCAGAATGCTTTAAAAATGTTATTTTTAAATTAAACGGTTACTATCTTGAAATGGAAAATACACTTGTAATTTTCAAATGAAAAGAAATATTATAATACTGGAATCGAAAGATCATTTGCTGTTTTAAAATGAAAAGAATAATCGTGATTCCGAAATCGAAAGATCAAATGCAATTCTAAAATTAAAGTTCTGATTCTAAAGTTGCGATAATAAAGTTAAAAGACAAGTGGAAATATAAATTATTTATCGCATAAATATTTAAAACAAAGTACCACATTCTTCCATCAGAATTAAATATTTTACAAAATTGCGAATTTCGTAGGTTACGCCGCGTAACGATTAAACCGCGGATTCTCGTGCAAAATAAAATTTACCTTCGTTCCTAGACTTTTGATAACAGAAGAATCAAATTTTGTTTCGACCATCAAATTTGTTTCATATACAAACAATGTGTATAAAATCTCTAAAACGCGAGTTCATCGAGAAATCGAGAACGATGAAGCGTAGGAAAAGTCTGCGGGGACGAGAAGCATCGAAAAACTGGGCGGTGGACATTGAAAAACCGGAACGGATGGGACGAGAACCGAGCAAAGAAGCCGACGGCAGACGAGAAAAAAGAATCGGGATCCTATATCCCGCAGCGGTCGTTACTCTGGGATTATTTTCACCCATTTCCTCGTCGTTTATTTTCGTCTTGATAAAATCGTAATTACATTTCCTTCCGCGGCGGTAGACGTCGAGATTACGAACCCGCGCGCCGGTAACTGGCGCGGGTACATAGGAACGATGTATCATTTAATCGCGGGAAATAAGGATAACAGGTAGACCGCTTTAAGCCTACAACAATTCTCGAAGCAAGTTTTGTGAGCGTAATTACGAATATCGATTCCGGCGGCATGGCGGAACGACGCGGCGTGCGGCAGCCCGGGCAAAATGGTCGCAGAAAATTATGCACGGCGGGGCTTTGTGCCCCTCGTCGCCATCCATCGAACCGGTCGGATCGGAATTCCCTGTTCCTAGTATTCATTCGGAAAAGTATTGGCCTTTCTCGCGGAATCGTTTCGTTGTTTCATCACCGCGCAATCGGCACTGGGGATTTCGCGCGGAACGGGCTCGCGGATACAATTTTCCGCGTAATATCGGCGCGGAGTGGAACAAAAATCAAAATTTCCGCGAGCCAATTTTTATCCAGCTTTTCCGGCGATCCACTACTTAAAATTTAAATAAACCCTAATTTGCATTTTATTTCTGCACTCGGGCTCGGTAAGCAGCTTGTCGATCGACTGCTTTGCAAAGTTCGACCATAATACTTCATTCGCCACGTTTGAAGATGGTCGATTTTAATGGCCTTGGAATTATGGGGTCGCTCGGCCTCCGAATATTCGCGACAGACTTTTTTCACATCGCGAGGGCACTTAAAATGCAAATTGTTGCGCTGTGAAAAATATTAAGTGCCTTCGAGACAATTCGATTTTTCTCTTAACAAATGGGCGCTGCTTGTTGATTCTAATTGCCTCGAATTATGGGCTCACTCGATTTTCGAAAATTCGCAGTAGAACTTGTAAATTGTGGGGACACTTTTGGGGGAAAAACATTAAATGGCTTCGAAACAATGCGGACCATTCGGATTCGAATTACTTTTTCCCTATGGTATTGGCATGGATAACGAGGTAATGGGAAGAAATTGCATTTCCTTGTCCGTCTCGATCCGAAGCACAGGTAAACCGGCAGGTTAGTGTTCCCTCGTCTGAAGCAGAACGGGACCAATTCCAATACTTGTCGATTAAATTCCTTGCGGACAAGGAACTCGTTAATTAACTCTACGTCCCGAAATCGATAATTGGGAAGAAGTTTAGAGATGCTGAACAACGCTTTAATTGATTCCCGTAGAAACTATTCGCCGGCAGAAAGAATTTCATTCGCGAGACGGTTTTTTACTGGAAAAAATTAGGAATCGTTCAACTGAACAAATATTAATTTTTTCCACATCCTGTATGTTCAAGACAATGATTGAAAATGAAATAGATACAGGAAACAATGTTTGCTGTATAAAAAGAATATTATACAAGTATTAAAAGTGACATAAAATAATTTATATAAAACCGAAACAATCCAGACATCCAGAAACAAAAATTTCCACATTTCCTCTTTTGTGGCTGCATTTGAATAAACTGTGGAAAGAATGTCTTCTAAATAAAAAGAATATTAGGAAAATACTAGTAGCGACATGAAATAATTTCTAAAAATTCAAGACTCCCCACGAACATCACCAACGTGTTCCTCCAAACTGTTTCCTTAACAAACGTTTCCTCCAAACATCACCAATCTGTTTCTCTTCGCCTTTTTCCTGTTCCTCTTTGCCAAGATAAACTTGGCAATTGTCGAAACGAATGTCTCCCGAAGAATCAAATCGCTAAAGGTAAACATAACAAAATCGATAAAGAATTGAGATCTCGGGAACATCTCCACGATGCCTCCTAAATAAACGGAGTACCACAAAAGCGTGTTCTTTTGTTCGTTGTTTAGCAACTCCTGGAACGACAATTTTCCAAACGAAGGAAAGAAAAGCGAAGGAAAGGAAGGGTAAAATAGTCAAGCATCTCCGGCGGACACAGTAGGTGGCTATGGCACGGATCCGCGACGTACCCTTTAATGAAATTGCAATCCCCTTTGCATTTCCTCTGACAAGAAGTTTCCTTTGTGAGGGTTCCATCTTTCCGCCAATCCGACATTCCCAGCGTTTAAGCCGCGCGCGTAGTGGACCAAAGTTCGTGAACAGATTGCCATCGTTGATCCTGTTCCGTACCTGGCCGGAGGTCGGTGGTACCGAAGAACGAGCATAGCGTGTCGTTGCTTTTTCCCCCTCGAGAAGAAGAAGAATAATAATAAGAGGAGGCGAAAGAGGGAGAGAGATCACGTAGCTGCCGAGGAAATCAGCTTTCAACTCCCAACTTCCTGGAACCCAGACCTTGAACTCGGCGAACCCTGTTTGAAGCTCTACTCGAAGAATCACAAAGCCGACTTGCCCTCCCGAATACTTGAATCCTTTTATCGGAGATGAGTATGCTCGGTGTTCGTGAGCGGAGTTACCTCGTTCTCCGTTTACCTAGGGAGTTTTTAGTTAATCGAGGTCGGATTGAACTTCATCCCGTGTGAATGTTAGTTGAATTCGAAATCGTGCGGACTGATAATATTTGGAGACGACTGTGTCAGATGAATTACGTCATAAAATCTTCATTGTTGTATGCTTTTGACCGTTGTGATAAACGCAGTTTATGTCTGACACGGTGAACCAATGGTTCTTCATTCTCGGTGATAAACGTTTCATCTAGCATCTTCTAATACCAAATATGAATCGTTAGCTATTTATTTTAGGCTTAATAAGGAGATAAAAGTTGATCTCAAAGAAATGAGTTCAGAAATATACAGGGTGACCCATAACTCACCCTGAAAGGGGTGATTCCTGAGGTCATTTGAAATAACTTTTTCCTTAGGGAAAATGCAACCCGTGGCTTTGTTTATGAGTTATTAATGAAAAAGAGTGACCAATGATAGGCGAGATCAGCTGGCGCGAGACGGCTGCTTCGCGTCATCCGAGCTTGCCTCTCATTGGTCAGTATTTTTCGTTAATAACTTGTAAACAAAGCCGCGGATTGCATTTTCGCTAAGGAAAAAGTTACTTCAAATGACCTCAGGAATTACCCCTTTCCTTATAACATAATTATGGGACACTGTTCATAAAACAAAAATTTTTGAATCTTGGATTTGAATGGATGCGCCATTCATAAGTTGCAGTTTCTTATTAATTTAAGAATTGCAGCACTAGATTGTTGAGTGAGATCATTTAAAAATAATTGCTCGAAGAATGGTAGTTTGTAAGGAAGTTGTGGATGAACGTTTTTGGATAGTTACACCGGAGCAATTAAGAGAGCGTCAGTTCGTTAAAATTGCGTAAAATCCATGATCCGTAGCGGGGTATTTAAAGAGCGAATTATTGAATATAAATTAAAGGATGCTTCACCTTTGTATAAAACGGATATTCCACACTCTTGCGGTATCGAGTTGCATCGAAAGTGAAAGTCGGTATCCCCATAGTTGAAGGCCATGCCAATGTCGTTCGTCGTCATCCTGTTCGCCTCTGTGCTGTAACCACCCTGGTAGCCGATTATGAGACCTTTGATGGCGGTAACTATAGAGCCCAGAATGTTCACGTTCGAGTTCATGTCGCTGGCTGCAACACAGAACACGATATACGATAGAGTACGATCACGTAAACGCTTTCGAGAGACCCGTCCCGAGGATTTGCGATTTCATTATTGAACGGTTTATCATCGCGAACAATTTTGTTATCGAACGAATAATTACACGTCGAGAGAAGTTAATTTTTATCGAACGATTTTCCACGAATGCAACTTGAGTAATTATAAATAATCGAACGGCGTTGATTAATTAACACTCGCAACAGTTAAATGTTTTCCGNTTTGAAATAACTTTTTCCTTAGGGAAAATGCAACCCGTGGCTTTGTTTATGAGTTATTAATGAAAAAGAGTGACCAATGATAGGCGAGATCAGCTGGCGCGAGACGGCTGCTTCGCGTCATCCGAGCTTGCCTCTCATTGGTCAGTATTTTTCGTTAATAACTTGTAAACAAAGCCGCGGATTGCATTTTCGCTAAGGAAAAAGTTACTTCAAATGACCTCAGGAATTACCCCTTTCCTTATAACATAATTATGGGACACTGTTCATAAAACAAAAATTTTTGAATCTTGGATTTGAATGGATGCGCCATTCATAAGTTGCAGTTTCTTATTAATTTAAGAATTGCAGCACTAGATTGTTGAGTGAGATCATTTAAAAATAATTGCTCGAAGAATGGTAGTTTGTAAGGAAGTTGTGGATGAACGTTTTTGGATAGTTACACCGGAGCAATTAAGAGAGCGTCAGTTCGTTAAAATTGCGTAAAATCCATGATCCGTAGCGGGGTATTTAAAGAGCGAATTATTGAATATAAATTAAAGGATGCTTCACCTTTGTATAAAACGGATATTCCACACTCTTGCGGTATCGAGTTGCATCGAAAGTGAAAGTCGGTATCCCCATAGTTGAAGGCCATGCCAATGTCGTTCGTCGTCATCCTGTTCGCCTCTGTGCTGTAACCACCCTGGTAGCCGATTATGAGACCTTTGATGGCGGTAACTATAGAGCCCAGAATGTTCACGTTCGAGTTCATGTCGCTGGCTGCAACACAGAACACGATATACGATAGAGTACGATCACGTAAACGCTTTCGAGAGACCCGTCCCGAGGATTTGCGATTTCATTATTGAACGGTTTATCATCGCGAACAATTTTGTTATCGAACGAATAATTACACGTCGAGAGAAGTTAATTTTTATCGAACGATTTTCCACGAATGCAACTTGAGTAATTATAAATAATCGAACGGCGTTGATTAATTAACACTCGCAACAGTTAAATGTTTTCCGTTCAATTATCAGAGATCTTTTTGATCTACTCCGACGGCAACCATTTTTATTCCACGGCTGAGCAGTTCGCCTTTGATGGGTCGTCTTCAGTATTCGACGCGTTAAACGAAACGTTGATTGCATTTATTAGCGAGTAGCGCGCGCAGAAAGGACAGTTACATTTTTTCGATAATATTCCTCAGCTTCTGCAAATAAATTCCATGGCTGTGATATTTTGATAAAGGAGAAGATTGAGAACCGAGTGGATGTTCAGATCGAGTTGTTCCCGGACTAATTAACGTTTCGATAACGGACAAACGATAGGAGCAGGAATATCGCGTTGGAAATGTTTCCGCTTCTCTGTCAGTCTATGGAGGTTTGTTGGTAAACATCAAACGTTTCGTCCCGATTCCCACTATCTTGAACGTCGAAACTCGAATCTAATCGTACGCGAGAGACCATTGTTCCAGTGACTTCGCGATTAGCGTCGACAGTGAAGCGTATCGTGCGAAGTGCATCTTGGATTTTCGTTTCAGTTTACGGACGTTGCAGTTGGAAAAGTGAGCGATCTCATTAGATCTCTATAACTAATGATTTATTTCATTTTTGCGCTGATAGATCGGCGCATAGCTGATTCGATTTTTAAATGTGTTGTAATATTTAGTGTCTCGAGAATGCATGTGAAAGCTAAAAGTTCACACTTCACGATAGATTTCTTTTAGTTTGCAGGAAAATTCGAACACGTTTTGAAAAATCGATATATCCTGGTCGATAGCTCAGACAAAAAAGAGTGAATGTAATTTTCAGTAGAAGCGAAGCGTTTACAAATGTGTTCCAGTGGGAGATTTTAATATTTTGAGGATGCATATGAAAGCTGAAAGTTCACATTTTACGATAGATCACTTTTAGTTTGCAGGAAAATTCGAACACGTTTTGAAAAATCGATATATCCTGGTCGATAGCTCAGACAAAAAAGAGTGAATGTAATTTTCAGTAGAAGCGAAGCGTTTCCAAATGTGTTCCAGTGGGAGATTTTAATATTTTGAGGATGCATATGAAAGCTGAAAGTTCACATTTTACGATAGATCACTTTTAGTTTGCAGGAAAATTCGAGCTCGTTTTGAAAAATCGATATATCTTGATGAACAGTTTAGACAGAAAAGAGTGAATGTAATTTTCAGTAGAAGCGGCTTTGATTCAATTTTGAAATGTGTTCCCGTGGGAATTTTTGACCGTTCGAAAATGCATACGAGAGCCGAGAGTTTGCGCGTTATGATAGGTTCCTCCTGAATTTCAAAAACGTTTAGAAACATATCGCGAAATCACAGTTTCCGTACTATTAAACAAATTGCTTTTGTTGCATCTAATTTCAACGACTGTTGAGTTGAAACAGCAAAAACAAGCAGAAGAAATTAATTATTTGTTCGGGAAGACGTTGCATTTTCAACGTTTATAGCAATTAGGGACACTTACATTAGCAATTATTGTTATTGCCGGTTCGTTGTTCTTTAATTATTTTCCAATATAGATTTAATCCGATACAGTGATCTCTATAATGAATTATATAACCGTGATTTGTAACGAACTATGCAAATATAAAGTATCGCTTAAGCCCACGTGCGAATTAATTATGTAATCATGTATTGTATCGGTGCGAGTCAATGAATTATCGTGAAACCCGAACTCGCAAAAATTCACGTTCATTCACAGCTGTCGATGTTTGGATATTCATATCGCGACATTAATCTCCGTCCCTAAATTTCAATTATGCATTAATTCCGCGGTTCCATAGGCGGGGAAACATCGTTCCTGAAATCATTAATTCGTGTAAAATCGAGTAACGGCAGGTGGAAAATCACTTATTCAAATGAGGACAGCCAATATTCTGCGAGCAGAACGCGCGAACGGGGATAATTTATTTAACGAACGTTTCGCCGTAAGTACGTAACGTCCAATCGATTTCTCATAACACGACTCTGAGAATACTTCCACTGCCGAAGATCTTTTCACCCCACAAAATTTTAATGCCCCGAAACAAAATATTTTGTTAAAAAATATCTCGATCGCTTAAAATTTCATCGGATTTTTAAATCGCGTTGAAATAATCAATATCGTTTAGAAAACTCTGCGACGACAAATTCGACGAATAATTCATTTAAAATATAAGAGACTGAATTAATAAACGAGAAAATATAATCGAGGAATTTTTAAAGCTGTATATAATACAGTCTTAAATATTATTAGAAATTCATTAAATAAATTACGTACACCAATTAACATTAATTACTGATGAAATTATTTATCAATTCTAGGAGTATTTTTACGAATTCAAATTATTTCCGAATTGTTCGTAATCGATAAAGGTTAAATAAGACCTTTTCAAATTCAATTTGGAGAACATGTTCAGCACAAAGCTGTGAGAAACATTGCTTCGTTGTATTGGGTTGGCAACTAAGTAATTGTCTACTTGCTCAATGAAATAGAAAATTGTTTTCTACTTGGAATGAAGTTTAATCTGTAATGTATTTTCCATTTTGTTCGATGACCTTTTGCCATCTCTTTGACAACTTGAAAATTCCACGCTCGTAGAAAGTCTGATCCTTTTCGGCGAAAAACTGAGTTAAGCGAGATTTTACAGCGTCATTATCGTTAAAAGTTTTACCACGAAGGGAGTTGTCCAGGGATCGAAATAAGTGGTAATCCGATGGCGCGAGATCAGGGCTATATGGTGGGTGTAACATCAATTCCCAACCATCAATTTTTGCCGAGTGGACAAAGACGTATGCGGCCTAGCATTGTCCTGCTGGAAAATGACACCTTTACGATCGACCAATTCTGGTCGCTTTTCCTTGGCCGCTGCATTCAATTTGTCCAGTTGCTAACATTCACGGATAATAAAAAATAACATAATAATAATAATAATAATAATAATAATAATAATAATAATAAT